TTTTGAATTATAACTTCAATATAATAAATGTTTTTAAATTCCTGGATTTTGTAATGCTGTAGATGAATTAAAGCGGTCATTTCTTCATTCAGTCTTAAGTATTGCAATGTGGTTTTGTTCAGGAAGTCTTTTATTCTTTCCAAAGTTGAGAGTAGGAGAAGGGCTGCCTTCTCACAATTGAGAGCTGAATATATCACCCTAAGGATTGTCACAGAATAACCTCATGCCATTGTTATGGACATAATTAATATTATACTGCATATCATGACATTTGATGCCATATTACAAAAGTCTGCATGCCGTGACACAACTGACTCTTGGGCTTTTGGCATTGAACACATACACCTTTATTTTCCAGATCTGACTTTCACATTTTATCACAGGTAAGGGTGACATTAGTTCACAGGTTGGTTGGCCCATCAAAGTAGAAAGATGTATGTGTGGGCTTTTCTTTAAAAACAGGCTTCTTCCAGGGTTGCTGAGCCTCATTCACCTCCTCCAGGAAAGTAAATCAGGAGCAAGGTCAACTGAGGCTGGAAGTGTGTACACAGATCTTGTTACTTAAGCATTCCAAGAATGCAGTGTCCTGTGCTTCAAAGTTGCATAATAAAGATGTTTGGCACTGAGGTGTTTGACTTGACTTTGTAATGTGGCCTCTCAGGGTCGGGCTATTTTTCTGAGAGTCCACAGGTCCAGTTCATTGTGCCAGGTCACAGGAAGGGACATGGAAGGCCAAGGGAGGATAGGGTGGAGGATAGGGGAGAACAGGCTGGAGACCAGAGGCCTGAGATATTTAGAGGGCAAACTCTCCATCCTCCTTCAGAACCTCAGCCCCGCCTACACATTCGAACCACCTGGGAGCTTTTGAGAACTACTGATGAGGCCTCCTCCCCATAGACCAAGGGAATTGGAATCTCTGAGATTTGGACCTAGGCAGTAGTAAAAAATACTACTCTCCAAAAGAGAAAAGCTCTCCAAAATACTTTAATGAGCACATTGCGGCTTCTAGGAGTTCACATGTAGTTTAGGAAGGAAGTGGGGCTGGATATCCGCTGGAATCAGTTGGACTCACAGCATCTCATATTCCCTGGGAGGCTGGGAAGAGCAGGGGCTACCTTCCACCCAGATCCTATTGTTTTTCCACCTCTCATGTGTGTAATTTGCTCCTACTGCTGAGTGAATACAAGAGGAAGGTGATACTGGTGAGTGAATCCGAGAGGAGATAAAAATCACTTATTTAAACAAAAAAACACAGTTCCACAGGCAGGTTGGGGCAAGCTGGTTATTTTTATTCAGCACATTAGAGTTTACAACATCATTTCATATACGTTTGCTCCTCAGAGCCTTCAGGCAATCCTGTGGGGCAGGCATTATGGTCATTTGACAGATGAGGAAACTGAGGGCCAGGATGGCATAGCTGTTATGTGGCCAACTGGAACCACAGCCTGTCTGGCTCCCAGTTCCAGGGCTCACTCTGCTTCCAAGCAGCAGCTTTAAAAGGCCGTCATTGATTTTCATTTTTCTGCTTTGACTTATTATCATTATTTGAGACAGAGTCTTGTTCTGTTGCCCAGGCTGAAGCGTAGTGGCATGATCTCGGCTCACTGCAACCTCTGCCTCCTGGGTTCAAGTGATTCTCCTGCCTCAGTCTCTTGAGTAGCTAGGATTACAGGCACCCGCCACCATGCCTGGCTAATTTTTGCATTTTTAGTAGAGATGCGGTTTCACCATATTGGCCAGGCTGGTCTTGAACTCCTGACCTCAGGTGATCCGCCCTCCTTGGCCTCCCAAGGTGCTAGGATTATAGGCATGAGCTACCGTGCCCAGCCTCTGCTTTGACTTATGAGACAAAACCCTCATTCTGTTGATTTGTTCATAGACATTTGAACACTTGAGGCAGGGGGAGTAACTAGTGAAACTGATCAGGGAAGTTGTGGGCTATAGGAGCGAGAAAAAACCACCACACGGCCCACTTTCTTATTCTGTCATTTACAGATAGATTGTGTTCAAGCCATCTACAAATTCCTTGTGTTTATCTATTATAGCAATAGGTAATATTTGGAGAACATATGCTATAAAGCGGAGGTTTATGAAAAGGAATTCATTTAATCCTCCCAGCAAGCATACAGTGTAGCTACTATTATTGATCTTTTTTTTTTTTTTGAGACGGAGTTTTGCTCTTGTTGCCCAGGCTGGAGTGCAATGGCGCAATCTCGGCTCACCGCAATGTCTGCCTCCCGGGTCCAAACGATTCTCCTGCCTCAGCCTCCCAAGTAGCTGGGATTACAGACATGTGCCACCAGGCCTGGCTAATTGTTTTGTATTTTTAGTAGAGACAGGGTTTTCCACGTTGGTCAGGCTGGTCTCGAACTCTTGAGCTCTGGCTGGGATTTCAGGCATGAGCCACCGTGCCTGGCCTATTGATCCCGTTTTTATAGGTGGGGAAACTGAGATCCAGAGAGCTTAGGCAACTTGCCCAAAGTTTCACACTGGTAGGTAGTAAAGCCTAGATTTGAATCCAAACCGTTTGGGGCAAGAGCTTCCGCGCTTCTTCATTATGTAATACTGCACTGACCCCTGGAGCTTCAGGCCTGCTCATCAGAGGCCCCAGTAGGACTCTGGGCTTCTACCATTTCTACCTGTTTACTTAGTCATAATAATCATTTATATTTATTGTGCTTTTATCATACATTAGACATTGTTCCAAAGGCTTTAATTACGTCGCTTAATTTGTTAACGCTCAAGAATGAGCCCGAGAGGTGGCCCCTCATAGGAAGGGTGTGCCCCAGCTCATGGCCATTCTTACCAGCCCCTATCTTGTAGCAGGTCCCCCTGTGCCCCTTCCAAAGCCGTGAAAGACTCTGTCAGGCTCTTGGTGACTGGGAAAGAGAAGTTCCTCTATGCCCTCTGTGGCCATGGTTAGAACTCTGCTCAGCTCTTCCTGCAGGTCTTGGCAGTGGCATCCCAGTTACCTTCTTTTGAGTCAGTCTTGCCTTCTGCCTCAGTCTTCTCCCGCCATCCAGGTCAATGGAACGCATCCACTCAGACCATCCAACAACATCTTGATTTGTCTATACAGCCAGGCCAAGTCGGAGGTAGCGGGATTTTATTCTGGGCTGAAGCCAGGGGAACCTTGCTGACTAACCATCCAACGAGCCAGGCCATCATGCAAGGACCCACTGTTAGGTGCTGCTGGAAGCCAAGCCGGGGAGCCAAGTAGAGCTTTTTTCAGGTGGTTCTGGAGGATTCGCCTGGCAACCGTGCCTTCTTCCCTTTCTAGGTCTGTTCTGGTGAGAGGGTTTCCCTTGTCATTTCCCTCATGCACAGCTCTGCTCCCTGGCTCTGCTCCTGGCTGGATCCTTCTCAGCTTTCAGGGCTCAGGGCAGCCCTCAGACCTCATTGAAGCCTTTGCTAGTCACCACCTCCTTTTCAGCCTCCAGTGACTCTTAAATCACCTGTATCTCCTTTTTCACACTCTCTAATCATTGTCTTTATTTATTTATTTATTTATTTATTTATTTGAGACAGAGTTTCACTCTTGTTGTCCAGGCTTGAGTACAGTCCTGCTATCTCAGCTCACTGCAACTTCCGCCTCCCTGGTTCAAGGGATTTTCCTGCCTCAGCCTCCTGAGTAGCTGGGATTATAGGCACCCGCCACCATGCCCAGCTAATTTTTTAATTTTTAGTGGAGATGGGGTTTTGCCATGTTTCAGGCTAGTCTTGAACTCCTGAACTCAGGTGATCCACCCACCTCGGCCTCCCAAAGTACTGGGATTACAGGCGTGAGCCACCATGCCCAGCCTTGTCTTTATTTTTTACTTACTGCCTATATTGCCCATGCAATTCTAAGTTCCAAGAGGACATGGGTTTTCTTCTTCACTCACTGTTCTGTGTACCTAGCTCCCCGCACTGTGCCTGGCCCTTAATGGGTGCTCAGTAAATACACATTGAATGAAATAGTTGAAAAAGTCTCTGTCATTGAAGGTGATGGTATTGACACTACGGCCAGTAGCTCATTTTCAACCTCACAGCCCTGCCAATACCCCTTTCTAGTTCATGTCTCCCACATCTCCTAAATAAATCTGTACCTTGTTCAGGGATTCGTCATTGTTATTTGCATTGGCTAAAGGCCCCTGGGGCCTGTCTGCTCCTCCTCATTTTCCATGATGTTGAATGAAGTTGTCCTTGTCCCTATGAACATTCTTTTTTTTTTTTTTTTTTTTTGAGACAGAGTCTTGCTCTGTCACCCAGGCTGGAGTGCAGTGGCACAATCTTGGCTCACTGCAGCCTCTGTCTCCAGGGTTCAAGCGATTTTCCTGTCTCAGCCTCCCAAGTAGCTGGGATTACAGGTGTGCACCACCACGCCCGGCTAATTTTTTGTATTTTTAGTAGAGACAGCGTTTCACCATGTTGGCCAGGCTGGTCTCTAACTCCTGACCTCAGTTGATGGCCGCCTGCCTCGGCCTCCCAAAGTGCTGGGATTACAAGCGTGAGCCACCGTGCCCAGCTATGAACATGTTCTTAGTGAATAAAATCAGAAAGGCATTTGGGCTCTCAGTGCAGAAGGGAAAGTGTCGCTGAGAATGGATTCTTTGTTGTGCCTCTGTTGGGAATATGCGTGTTAAATGGAAGAGTCCTAAAGAGTCCCTTTTTTAGTTTAAACAGCTAAAAAATATAACCATGCCCTAGGCAGTATGCTAGGTGTCTGGCAGCATGCACAAGCCAAGCATCTACATTTAAGGGGCTTTCTGTCTCTTGGTGGGAAAAGACTTGACTGCATGACAAGAAGACACCAGCATATGAGGCACAGTCTCATTCACAGAACCAAAGATGATCAGTACTTTGCTTATAGCGGCAAATGGTTACTGAGGTCTGGGGAGGTTTCATGGGATTTAGTCACAGCCCTGTAACACAGAGAGGATTTGGGTAAGTTTACTTGTGTGTGTTCTGTAGCCTTAGTGAATGTTCTGTGTGGTCACTGGTTTTATTGTTTCCTCTAGATACAGCCAGAAGATGCCCCAGTAGTTCTCTGGCTGCAGGGTGGGCCAGGAGGTTCATCCATGTTTGGACTCTTTGTGGAACATGGGCCTTATGTTGTCACAAGTAACATGACCTGTAAGTATCCCTTGCACTATATTTCCTATAGAATCTTTCATCTGAGCCTCACATCTGCTCCAAAACTAATTTAGAGTAAACACGGAACCACTAGGACTAGCTTAACTGTTCCAGATTACCAAAACACAACTTTCTGGCAATGTCCATCCGAGAAGGAGGAGCCTCAGGGCTGTGTCCTGACTGGGCTGCTGTCTCCCTTGAAATTTGGGTGAAAAGTTCTAATCCGCTTTCTTGCAGTCTGCTGCTGACTCAAGCATTCTGGGTTTGCAGAACAGTTGGTATTTATTACAATTTGGGACAGTTCTTTGCAGGGGACTAATCGGTGGAATTATATTCCTAATTACTCACATGAACTACACACTTTGTGGTTCAGTCACACTTAGGATCTGATAACTTGGAAGCAAGACGCTATTCCAGGTGGGGGCTGAGGTGGAGGAAGGATAAAGAGCAACATCTGGCTGTCACTAAGTTTACCTTCATCTCATTTTTTTTTTTTTAATTTTGTTTTCTTTCCTCTGGGTTAGAATTTGGAGTGTGATCCAGTTTGTGACTCAGTATAAAGGCTTATGTGCCAGTTTTGTTGAAGTAGTTCTCTTCAAGAGATGGAGCCTTAAGGATGATTGATTTAATTGGACATACGGATATTATTGCAGAGGTGGTTGGTGGGTGTTTTTTCATGTTCCAAGCTTTCGTTGGGTTTTGTTTCCAAGCTTTATCTCAGGTGTGGAAACGCTCTGGGCTGGGGGAACGTGAAGGAGAGGAGTGGAGAGGGTAAAGGTGCAGGTGCCTGTTCCCCACCATGAGAGTATGAAGCGCTGTTAGAGGGGACACCAATAGTTCACGAGGACCGGGGAGTGTGTTGGGCTTCTGACCGCTGTGAGGCGTCGGTGGAATGCTTGTCCACTCTATCTCACCCCTCTTCTCTGTTTTCACAGTGCGTGACAGAGACTTCCCCTGGACCACAACGCTCTCCATGCTTTACGTTGACAATCCAGTAAGTCTGGGATGACCCTGTGAGCTGTCAGTGCTGGCCTCTCCTGTCTTTTACTTTTTCCTTTTTATTAAGTACATTTAAAAAAATAGATTTAGTTTTTCCTTTTCAAAATAGAATTTAATCTGTGAAATTAAAACCATTTTGAGATTTAGTTATTCTGTTAACATATATAATCATATCAGAGTTTGGCAGTTTTCCTTGCTGCCTTGTCTCATGTCCTCATTTTTTTTTCTATTGAGACGGAGCCTTGCTGTGTCGTCCAGGCTGGTGGCTCACTGCAACCTCCGCCTCCCCAGTTCAACCCGATTCTCCTGCCTCAGCCTCCCAAGTAGCTGGCACCTGCCACCACACCTGGCTGATTTTTGTATTTTTAGTAGAGATGGGAGCGGGGGGGTAGGGGTGTTCACATATTAGATAGGCTGGTCCTTTTTTTTTTTTTTTTTTTTTGAAACGGAGTCTCCCTCTGTCGCCCAGGCTGGAGTTCAGTGGCCGGATCTCAGCTCACTGCAAGCTCCGCCTCCTGGGTTCAAGTGATTCTCCTGCCTCAGCCTCCCGAGTAACTGGGACTACAGGCGCCCGCCACCTCGCCCGGCTATTTTTTTGTATTTTTTTTAGTAGAGACGGTTTCACCGTGTTAGCCAGGATGGTCTCGATCTCCTGACCTCGTGATCTTGGCCTCCCAAAGTGCTGGGATTACAGGCTTGAGCCACCGCGCCCGGCTGATGGGCTGGTCTTAAACTCCTGGCCTCAGGTGATCCACCTGCCTTGGCCTCCCAAAGTGATGGGATTATAGGCTTGAGCCCATCGCGCCTGGCCCGTTTCCTTATTTTTAATCCTATGAGATGTCCTGTTCACTGAATTAGATAACCCAGGAGGAGGAATTTGTTTCTTTTCACTGACAGTATGGGTTCCCTATATAACGGGTTATTATGTAGTGTCAGAACTTCTAATCTTTCACAATCTTCTAATCTTTCACATAGAGTTATAGATATACAAAGTCAAAATGGGTCTCCTTCACTTTTTTTTTTTTTTTTTTTTTTTTGAGACGGAGTCTCGCTCTGCCGCCCAGGCTGGAGTGCAGTGGCCGGATCTCAGCTCACTGCAAGCTCCGCCTCCCGGGTTCACGCCATTCTCCTGCCTCAGCCTCCCGAGTAGCTGGGATTACAGGCGCCCGCCACCTCCCCCGGCTAGTTTTTTGTATTTTTTAGTAGAGACGGGCTTTCACCGTGTCAGCCAGGATGGTCTCGATCTCCTGACCTCGTGATCCGCCCGTCTCGGCCTCCCAAAGTGCTGTGATTACAGGCTTGAGCCACCGCGCCCGGCCTCTCCTTCACTTTTTTTTAAAAATTTTTATTTTTTTGAGATGGAATCTTGCTCTGTCACCCAGACTGGAGACCTCCACTTCCCAGGTCGAAGCAATTCTCCTGCCTCAGCCTCCCGAGTAGCTGGGATTACAGACTTGTGCCACCACGCCTGGCTAACTTTTGTATTTTTAGTGGAGATGGGATTTCACCATGTTGGCCAGGCTGGTCTTGAACTCCTGACCTCAAGTGATCCACCCACCTCAGCCTCCCACAGTGCTGGGATTACAGGTGTGAGCTACCGCTCCTGGCCTCCTTCACTTATTAAGACAAGCAGAATGCTTCATCTCTGGACAAAAGTGATACTCTCCTTGGGGAGGTCTTCTGATATTGGTTCTATTAAGGTGCAAAATAGGAGAGAAACTTAGCATCAGCTTCTACAGATTTGGAGTATCTTTGTGTCCTTAACTAAAATCTTTAACTTCTTTCACTTTTCAGATGGTCCAAAGAGAACACAAAAAAAAGGGGAAAAAAATGTCAACATGCTCGTTCCCCCACCTTGTTTTGTCAGCCTTCCATTTTCCTTGTCCACAACTGTGTATTTAAATAAAAGATGAATTAAACATCCTTGGGTGTTTGGAAAACAAAAACAAAAACACAAAAATCTTTATACCAGATAGGGAGTGCATTCCTTATGCAAATTGTTGACGTAAAAATAGTAGCTGCTTCTTTTAATTTACAGTTCAGTTGTCTGTGAACTTCCAGGTATAAGAAAATATTAGTTTAAAATTAGTCTTAATTATGTTAAAACTCCTTACCTACTGAAGATGAAATGGCTTAATGGCCATATTTCTCGAAAATAAAGAAAAGAAGGGGGAGGAGGAGGAGGAAGAAGAAGAAGAAGACAACATACAACTACCTTTTTCTCCAGCCTAGAGAGTTTCTTTTTTTCTTTTTCTTTTTCTTTTTTTTTGGAGACAGAGTCTCGCTCAGTCACCCAGGCTGGAATACAGTGGCATGATTTCAGCTCACTGCAATCTCCGCCTCCCAGGCTCAGGTGATTCTTATGCCTCAGCCTCCCCAGTAGCTGGGATTACAGGCACCCACCATCATGCCTGGCTAATTTTTGTATTTTTCGTAGAAATTGGGTTTCACCATGTTGGCCAGGCTGGTCTTGAACTCCTGACCTCAGATGATCTGCCCGCCTCAACCTCCCAAAGTGCTGGGATTACAAAAGTGAGCCACCACACCGACTAAGAGTTTCTTCTTGGCAGGACAGAGCAAAGCACTCTCCAGGGAGAGGAGACAACTTTGGATCTTTTGATACTGTAGCAGGGGATGGAAAAGATGAATTCTTCTTCCTTAAATCAACATCTGGCAGAGTCTCCACTGAGGACCAGGGCAGCTCAGCCGCTGACCCCAGGGCAAAGCTCTGTGTTGCTGTTTTGTTTGGGCTTTGGGGGGTAGAGAGAATAGGTGGCACTCAGCATCCTCCTGGGAGGAGGGCTAAAGGCACGGGGAGATGATGGCAAAAATCTGAAGTCTGAGCTTGGCCTTTGGAACAAGGTCGCCTTCCAGTGTGGGACCTCCCTGCAGGTCTCTAAGGCATGTGTTTCTCTGTATTTATACCTGCTTGTCTATTTCTTCTGCAGGTGGGCACAGGCTTCAGTTTTACTGATGATACCCACGGATATGCAGTCAATGAGGACGACGTAGCACGGGATTTATACAGGTAACATGCTCCCGCTTTCTCTTGGCCTTCTTCAGACCAAACATTTTTCTATCTCAACAGGAAAATTATTCTAGCATTGGAATTATTATTGACTGAGCCTTATAGTCCAATTCCTGAAGATAATTTAAGGATACTTTCACATCCACACAGCAGAATTTTTCAATTAAAGATTATTTTTTAAAACTTTCAACCAGACCTCTGAAAGGTTTCTGCTTGTTTTCCAAAATTGTATTTAACTTTGCATTTCTGGGGAGACAACATCTTTTCAGATATTTGTTTGTTTCCCAGGATTCTTCTTTTTGTGGCTTTTGGATGCAATTTTTTACTTTCTGCTTCTAGTTCATGACTTGTCCATGCTGAAAACTTAGCTTGTTAGTCTCTAGTATTCTCCCTTCTTCTTGTGAAAGTTTTCTTTTGCTTAAAAAAAAAAAAAAAAAAAAAAAAGGAAAAATGTAAAGTTGTAAGTCTGGCCAAATAGTGTCCATATAATGTCTCCCTTTCTTTATTTACTCATATTAATCAGTGCTATTTTTAGCATTTTAAAAAAAGCAAATGACCTTTCTTATTTGGTCAGATTTTTCCAGTCTACAAATTATTACTAGAGACCAAATCCTTTCTGGTCACTAGGGCACCGCTTTATGCATTATAATAATTTACTAAATTATTATAATAATTTGCTAAAAGAACCCTAGTGGCCAGAAGGAGTTAACTAGCTCCCTACCCCACACCTCCACCAAGCACTCTGTTAATTACTACCAATCCCCAAAGCGAAAGCGCATCTAATAGGAGTCAGAGTTCGCTGATCTCTGACAAAAGCTTTCCGTTTCACTTTTCTTTCTCTCTAAGGCAGATAGGTGGCTGGAGGGAGAGAAGAAAGAACTACTTCCAAGCCCCTTTCCCAAAGATCTCTCCCTCTGCCCACCTAGAAAAGAATATGGCTGTTGTCTTCTCCACTTTTGTTTTTCACATGTTCCATGATTCAATCACTTCTATTCAGTGTCTAGGGGGATGCCCAGGACCCCACACTTCTGCTTCCATGTACAGTGGGGTCCTAGGGACATATTTGCCAAGTTCCTGGTGGGGTGTTCCCCCCAGCACCCCCTCCCCTTCCCTCCACAGACGTGACGGACGGCAGTCCTCCTCACAGGCTTCCTCAGAGCCAGGGCCAGGGCTCTCTTGGCACTGTGTGCTCTCTTTCTTCAGATTAGAGACCTACTCCCCACCCCCACCTCCCATCCCTCTTTGGTTTAAATCCAAACAAGCTCAGTGGTTAACTAGCAAACACCCTGAGGGCAGAGGTTCTGTATTGAAGAGCTGCATCGGCCCCCTCTAAGACAGAGCATCACTGCCAAGCCGTTTCTGTGTGTCCTTCCCCTCCCCCGAAGACTGTTACAGCTTCCAGTTGCCCCTCCATATGGGGATGTCGACTGCTGACATGTGGTCCATCTCCTCTTGCCTGACATGTAAAGGGAACCTATTTCAAAGCATCTATTGTTTATAGCTGTTGTAGTTCTTTTTGCTTCGGGCTCTTAGAACTGGAAAATAGCTAATCAAGGGTAGTGCAGAAAACTGATTTCAGCTGTTTCCTTTATAGTTTACACTCTTCGTTTCCCTTTGTGGCCACATTCTTCTCTCCAGCTCTCCAGATGGGTGTTTGCAATAAGAAGGTCGCTTGGAAACCTGCAAACGGGCTACTACAGGTTTAAAGAGTGGAGCTTTCATTTGCTCCCTTTGAAAACCAACTTTCATTTTTCTGAAAATCCCATTCTTTTGGACTATTAATAGTGCATGGCTGTAAGGAGACATTTACCATTCACAGTTTTGCTGCTTTTGTGTTTGGAAATAAAACTTTTTCACGAACAAGATGTTAAAATACTCTCCCTCTTTTCTTATTTGGAATGTGCTATTTAGTCACAATGCCTCTCTGGTTTAAAAAAAATTATGAAATTTATTAACTTTGATTTGGAGTACACTAGCTGGTGCCACTCTTCTTCTGCCATTGTTTACCAATTGCCTATTATGTGCCAGCTGCTGTTCTTGGTGCTGGTGAGACAGTAGTAAGCAATCCCCAAAGCCCCTGCCCTCCTGGTGCTTAGTCTAGTGGTGGACCTATAGTTATTTTCTTAGCAGCCAAATGTAAGCGCTACTATAGTTTTCTCCTACATGTTGGTTTGCAATGGGAAATGATATGTAGTGTTGCTCAACAAAGCTTCATAGCAATGCAGCTAGGAAGCAGGCTTCCTATATTAAATGAGAAAACTCTGTGTCCTGTGCCAGGTGGAGAGGATCATGGCTCAGCCTCGCTAGATGTTGAATGAATGCAAAAGAGGGCTCCCCTCACCGGCTCCAACAGAGCAGCACTGCCAGGATTCCTGTTGCTGAGCTTGTGTTGGTCCAGTGCAGGGCAGGTGAGCTCCAAAGTGGGGCTTAGCCTGTGAGGGGTTTTGGCTTTGCCCAGAAAAGAATTCAAGGGTGGCCGGGTGTGGTGGCTCACACCTGTAATCCCAGCACTTTGGGAGGCCGAGGCAGGCAGATCACCTGAGGTCAGGAGTTCCAGACCAGCCTGACCAACATGAAGAAACCCTGTCTCTACTAAAAATAGAAAAATTACCTCTTCTTGGTGGTGCATGCCTGTAATCCCTGCTACTCAGGAGGCTGTGGCAGGAGAATCGCTTGAACCTGGGAGGCAGAGGTTGCGGTGAGCTGAGATCATACCATTGCACTCCAGCGTGGACAACAAGAGCGAAACTGTCTCAATTAAAAAAAAAACAAAAAAAGAGAATTCAAGGTGAGATGGAGGTAGAAGAAAACAGCTTTATTGAAGGGGCAGTGTTACAGCTCCATGTCTACTCCTGCAGGGCTACTGCCTAGTCAGAGGAGCAACTTAGGGCAATTTTGCGGTCATATTTAAACCCACTTTTAATTACATGCAGATTAAGGGTTGGTTCATGCAGAATTTTCTAGGGAATGGATAGTAGCTTTTGTGTCTTTGGGTCATTGCCATGGAAAGGGGTGGTAACGCTGGGTTGTTGCCGTCACGATGGTAAACTGACATGGCCCACTGATAGGCGTGTCTTATGGAAAGCTGCTTCTGCCCAGGCCCTGTCTTAGCTAGTCCTCAGTTTGATCCAGCATCCAAGCCCCACCTCTCTATTTGAGTCCCACCTCCTACCTCATGTCCACTGCCAGTGACTGTAGGTACACTTTGCTTGGCTTTGGTTGGTATGGAGCTTTTGGTTAGATTACCTGAAACTCGATTATCCTGAATGTTGCTTGTGTTTATGATTATGCTTCTCAGTCCATTAGAACTGACCAGATTCCAGTGCTGTCTTTGGGTCTACAATGCATGATCATGTCCACTCACCTTTTCTGCCCTGCATCCACCTGATCTCTGTTTAAAAACTTATCTGAGGAATAATTTTCTTGTAGTCATTCTTCCTTGCAATCTCTGTTTCTCTTTTTGGTCCTTTAATATACATTTTTGCGAGCAGAGAGCCCTCAACTAAAATTCTGTTTATTAGACAAGTCCTTGGCACAATGCCAGCAAGGTGGCCAAGTGGAATCACCAGGAAGAAGCATGCTTCTTGTGCCATGTAGCTCTTGTACCTGAATAAATGCATGGAGTGTGCACGTGTGAACACAACGCTTATGTATTATTATTTTTGAGACTGACTCTCACTCTGTCACCAGACTGGAGTGCAGTGGCGTGATCTCGGCTCACTGCCACCTCTACCTCCCAGGCTCAAGCAATTCTGCCTCAGCCTTCTGAGTAGCCGGGACTACAGGCACCCACCACCACACCCAGATAATTTTTGTATTTTTAGTAGAGACGGGGTTTCACCACATTGGCCAGAATGGTCTCAATCTCTTGACCTCGTGATCCACCCGCCTCGGCCTCCCACGGCGTGAGCCACCGCAGCTGGCCACTTACGTATTTTATATATATATATATGTTTAGCAGTTTTGCTTCTAAAATTTGTAATTTTATTTGGGCTTGATGCTAGATTTTATTTTCTAGAAGATGCTCACCATGTAATAAGAAGAGTTCTTGACTAAAATACAGTTAAATGAGCAAATGGCATATGCAAATCTAATTTACTAAATTTACTTTTTTCATTCTTCACTCTCTTTTCAGAAAAGAGAGTGCTACCATGCTACCAAGTGCTTGCTTTAAAAAAAATAGCCAATTTTTTGGCTGTGAAATCAAAACTGTGAAATGAAACTTGATGATAATTTCCTCAAGTGGAGCCTTGCCTTGGAAACTTGAGCTGGAGAATCCTGCCATTTTCAAGATAGAAGTAACCTGGGAGATTATCTCCAAATAAGACTGTCAGATAAAACACAAAATGCCCAGTTAAATTTCAATTTCAGATAAACAACAAATAACATTTTAATGTGAGTATATTCCATGCAATATTTGGAACATACTTATACTAAGCCATTATTTGTTATTTATCTGAAATTCAAAATTAAACCATGTCTTATGTTTTCATTTGCTAAATCCAGCAACCCTAATGACTCTCCAGCAAATACTACAAGGAAATAAGCTTTAAGCTAAAGCCAAAGACTTAATTGAGATTTACTATGCTAAATTATCTATTGCCATTCCAACAAGTAGGAAGAGAGAAAAGGAAGTAGATTTTAGCCTGAAGGTTGGAGAGGGAAGGGTGGAGAATGAATGCCTATTTTTATCTGCGTTCTAAAGCCAGCTTATTGCCAGCACAAACATAGAAGCTGTAAAATACAGCTTCTCAGATTTAGTTGCTATAAAGGCCGCTATAAATAATGAATACAGAAATACAACAAAACTCTACAGTAGTGTTTCATGGTGAATTTTTATGCAGCCTTTGAAAATTAATTATAGCTAGGATCATGGTGATTGTAATGACCCAATTTTGCCTCTTTGTAACCCTTGAACTTCGCCATCCTCCTGGGTTTTCAGAGCCTCCTTGCCTTTCATCTTCCCTGAATGGTTCATGGCTTTTAGTGTCTCAGCAGGAAGCTGGGCCAAAAACCTGCCCTAGCTTCGCAGGCACTGCAGTCTGGGTCAAAACACTCATAGAGCTACTGAGTTTCACAAGTTTTTGTTTTCCTTTTTTTTGAAATATTTTGTTCAAGTAAAGAATCATTTAAAAATCCACTGTCTTCTTGCTTACTATGAAATCACTCCTTGAGTCTGTTAAAATCTATTTCATCACTGAAGTGGCTATTGGCATTCTTTTTTTTTTTTTTTGAGACAGGGTCTTACTCTGTTGCCTAGGCTGGAGTGCAGTGGTGCAATCTCAGCTCACTGCAACCTCAGCCTCCCAGGTTGAAGCGATTCTCCTGTCTCAGCCTCCCAAGTAGCTAGGATTACAGGTGCACACCACCATGCCTGGCTGATTTTAGTAGAGATAGGGTTTCACTATGTTGGCTAGGCTGGTCTCGAACTCCTGACCTCGTTATCTGCCCGCCTCAGCCTCCCAAAGTGCTGGGATTACAGGCATGAGCCACCGCCCCTGGCCAGCTGTTGGCATTCTTTAGTAAATGTGTTTTTCTTTTTTTTAGCCCAGAGGCTACTGTATATTTATTTCAATATCTGTGGCCATTTGCTGTTTTTCTTTTAAATTATAGTCATCTTACAGTTTTTGTGTTCTTTGGTTATTAAAATGCTGACATTCTTGGAGCTCCAGCAGAAATGTTCAGAGTCCCCCACAGTGGGGGTTGGTAAGCAACTAAGATTTCCCTCACTTCACCACAAATCTGGGCTAATGGGATCATAAAGTTTGCAGAACTACCTCCAAGAATTGCTACGTAACATGTGAAACCTGTATTATTTGCTCAAGGTGCCCTCAACAGTTAGATGATCCAAACTGGTAACTCAGTGATTTGGAAACATGCCCATAGTACTGATGTCCACTTGTCCAAACTTCTTATTATCAAAGTAAGCCCACACGTATTGTGTAAATAAAATGTCCTACAGGAGCTCATAGCAGAGTGGTATCTTATTTCAAATGTGAAACCTATTGCCAAAGGGTTAGATTTGATATCCTAGCATGAAGAGGTCCTGAATCATTTTTCTGATTAATTTGTATTGTTTTTGTTCTTCTTTTTGCAGTGCACTAATTCAGTTTTTCCAGATATTTCCCGAATATAAAGATAATGACTTTTATGTCACTGGGGAGGTAAGTAGAAGTCGCGTTTCCTTGTGTGCTTCAAACATCACCAGAACTGACATATATTATGAGTGTAGTTTGTTCGTTTAAAATCTATATACATATATACATGTACACATACATATCAATATTGATTCAGCCTATATTCAAAATTCTCCCAATTATCAAAATACCCTTCATAACTTTTTTTTTTTTTGGATTTGGAATTTCGCTCTTGTTGCCCAGGGCTGGAGTGCAGTGGCGCGATCTCAGCTCACTGCAACCTCTGCCTCCCGGGTTCAAGCCATTCTCCTGCCTCAGCCTCTTAAGTAGCTGGGATTACAGGTACCTGCTACCACGCCTGGATAATTTTTGTATTTTTAGTAGAGATGGGGTTTCACCATGTTGGCCAGGCTGGTCTCCAACTCCTATTCAGGTCTCGTGATCTGCCTGCCTCAGCCTCCCAAAGTGCTGGGATTACAGGCATGAGCCACTGCATCTGGCCCTTTCATAACATATTTTAAATCCCAGGACTCAATGCATGCTCTCATATTACCATGGGTGCACTAGGTAGGCTCAGTCACCTACCTTGTTTGTTGTCCTCGTCATTCATGGTGATGATTTGAAGAGTCCAGGCCAGGTGCTTTGTAGAATGTCCCATATTCTGAATTTGTCGGATTTTTTCCTCAGTGCTTAGGTTATGTCAAAACATTTGAGCACGAATATTACATAGATGGTGTGTACTTTCTGGTGCCTCACATCAGGAGGCACATGAAGTCAGTTTGTCCCACTGTTGATGATGCTATACTGGATCCCTCTGTCAAGGTGGTGTCTGCCAGATCTTGCCATTGTAAAGGCACCTGTTTCTGTTTGTAATTAGTTAATAATTCAAGACCATTTGAACACTGTTCCCTCAAAAAATGCCACCCAGTAGTTTTAGCATCCATTGATGATCTCTGTCTGAATCAGTTATTACACTGGGGGTGATAAAATGGTGAGTTTTCTAATGTATCTTTCTGTGGATATCACTTGGCATTCTTCCATAGGGAAAATTTTTCCCTTTTCCTCTTATTACTTACTTTTAAAAATAGTACTGTGGATTCACAGACTGTTATTTCTATTTGATCTGTTAAAATTTGTTTTGTTTTAAATGCTTTCATTGTTTTAAATTTGGTCACTGGAAACCCCTTCAACTGGCTCCTGTGCCCTTTTTACAGGTCCCCATTAGCCTCCAAGCATGTCCTTGCTTTTTGACACAAATGTATGTTCCAGAAGCATCTTGTACTTCTTGTACTTTCCCTGTCCTAGCCTTGGAATCAGTCAGTTCTTCATGGAATGCTGGTTCTTTTTCATGGGGAATGGCATTTAAAAAGCAAGTGCTAAGCACTAAGTGGCCCATTGCTGCTGGGATGTGTCTGTGGGCAGAGCTAGGAAACAAAATGACTTCATACTAATACCCATACTTCTGATTCCGTACCACGAGGTTCTCTTCTCTTTTCTCTGTTCCGTATTTGTTTACCCCTTCTCCCACACTGAGGGCTGTGGTTCCTAATGACATCAGTGTGTTTCCTCTTTTGCTTGCTTCTACAATATGCCCAAAATGGTTTCAGAATTACTACATGAGTACCATTACCAACAAGAAACATCAAAATTGCTTTCAATATTTTTGCTGCAATTATTTTTATCCTTAAATTGTATCTCACTACACACTTACAATCAAAGTACTGTGTTTAAAAGTTAAAAGAATTCTATCTTTTTAAGGGTGATTCTGTTAAAATTTAATACACAGTTACGTTCATTTGTCTATTGTTGGTTTCAATTTTAGGGTTTGCTTTTTTCATCCTTTTTAAGATTATTTTAAAAATAGGTACCAGCCAATCATTTAAGAACATAGGTGCAATTCTAGGTGCTAGGAATATAATGGTGAATAACACTGAAAAACTACAAAAAAAAAAAATCCCCGCCCTACATTCTAGAGAGGCAGACAGTGATAACTAAAATATGTGCTAGGTACTGTACCATCAGGCAGTGACAAGCATCATGAAAGAGACGCAGTAGGGCAAGAGCCGGAGAGTGAAGGAGGTGCTATTTTGGGTAAGATTGTCTGGGCAAGGCTCTTTGACAAGGAGATGACGAGCAGAACTCTGAATGATGTGGTGGGGGTAATTTCTGCAGTATCTGTAAGAAGAGCTTCCCTGGCAGAAGAAACAATGAATGCGAAGACTCTCCAGTGGGGACAGGCTTGGCAGGTTCAAGGAAAAGCACAGAGCTGCCGTGGTGGGAACTGAGCAGAAAGAGGCCAGTGGATCCTGCAGGGCCCGGCTGCCTATGGCAAAGAGTTTGGACTTTACGCTAAGAGTAATGGGAAACCATTGAGGGTCCAGTGTTCACTGAAAGAACATTTAGAATCGAATTCAACTGAGCACAGATATATTGAGGCACTGGACAAATATTAGGAATTCAGTGATTTATCAGACGTTGACTCTGCCCTAAATCTGAAGGTCTAATAATTACAATACAGATGAAAGGCACAATTAGAGAAATATTATCTCTGATCCACAAATCTTGAAAAAAGAAAAAAAAGTTAAGAAAAAAAATTAGAGAAGTAACTGTAAAGACTAATAGCCACAGGAAAGGTACCAATAGCTACCTCAGAATGGGATCCTCAGGAAAGGCCAAGCAGAGGAGATGGCAATGAAACCAAGTTTTGAAGGATAAATAAGGGTGTGTTAGTTAAGGCTCTTTTGGTTGCAAGTGACAGAAACCCTATTTAAAGCAGCTTTAGTGAAACAGGACATTGATTGATTTAACGTCAGGTGTGGCTGGATCTGGTTGCCCATACTTTGTCATCAGGATTCTGCCTGTCATTCTCTCCTGATCTATGTACTTTGCTTTGTACTTTTCTGGTTTCATTCTTAGGCAAGTTCTTTTCATGTGGCACTCCCGCTTCTCCATCCATCGCAGGGCAGGTATAGCGTATCCATTCAACTTCCCTTTCCCAATAATTCCTGCCCTCCAGATTCCTGAATCTCAGATGATCCACTTGGATCTCATGCCTATCCTAGAGCCACCAACTGGACCCAGGTGGTTGGAATATACAGATTGGCCAGAATGGTGCCTGAGGCCTACTCCACACCCTGGAAGGGTAGGGACTGGGATGGGGGCCCTCATACTCTGAACCATAAGGCCTGAGAGTAGGAGATGAGTGGTCTCCAGAGGAAGATCCAAGTGATGATGCCAGAGGAAGGGCTGTAAAGATGCTGGCAAGCATGTCTGCGATGTACACTTTCAGGGAGGGAAAGAGGAAAATGGTCTGAGCTTTTCCAAGGGAATGGCAAGTAACTGGAGCTAGCAACTTCTTCTCTCTTTTTTCTCTTTATAAGCTATTTGGAAGGGATATTCTGACTGTTTGGCATACTACACTTTAGGTTTTTTAAGCCAGTTATGCAGTCAGGATGAGTTAGAACCTCTCCTGGTAATTTCTGGCTGTTCCTTGTCTTTTAACCAATTTCAGAGCCAGGTTAGGAAAGCGAATAGGAAGTGACACTCCCCATTATTTGGCAAAATATTTGGAAAATGCCCATTCTCCACCTCCTACAGAAGAGTGATCTACTTCGTGTGTAATGCCTTGTCTTGCAAATAATGTGGTGATGTCGTTAACCATGATGCTGATGTTGATACAAACCATGATGTTTGGTAAAGCTGCCAAATCCCAGATGAAAAATTTGACTTGGTTATTTCACATCTGCCTTGTGGTTTTATGCCTATAATTTCCTAATGTGTGTAGAAGAGGACAGTTTTCTTTTTACCTTCCTTGCTGCCAGGATGAATACTTTTAGGGAAACCTGTGCCTTCTGAGTGATGAAGGAAGATGTGAGGTAGAGATGCCGTTGTCAGTTCTTCCCTGAACTACATGGGATACGTTCAGTCTGGGGGCACTGCTCTTTCTAGAAGAAAAAAACACTAAATAATGATGCCTTGATGGTTTGTCGTGAATATTAGAATGCTGTGTTTCTCCAGCCTCGTTGGTCCCATCTGGGTTGTCTTCTGTTTTAAGGCCATGTGGCAGAAAAGAGAAGTGGAAGGCATTCTGGATTAATCATTAGGAGCCCTGGGACTCAGGGCTGGCTTTGCTCCTCCCTGGATGATTTCAGGAAAGTCTTTCAGCCTCCCTGGTCCTCTGCTTTTCATCTAACAATCAGAGGAGTTGTTCAGTTAGATCACTTACAGGGATATTTTGCTTTACTAGAAGTTCAAATGCAGTTATTTAGACTTACTCTTTAAGCATCTGTGTGTAATTGCAGTTTTAACGTAGTACCTACCCATTTTCCCTCTCGCTGCTGCCACCACCAAAAAAAAAAAAAAAAAAAAATTCTTCTAGATTTTTCAAGAAAGAAAATTCCTTTCTCTTCTAAACTCTTCATTTTCTCACACTCTTAGGAAAGTGGAATAGTGCTGCTCAGTTTGTAGAGCCATCTTCAAAAAATAAATGCACAAATTCAGAATGGTTTTCTGCTTTTCAGTGTAAATGCACCAGACCTAAATATCTCACATTTGTGTGCTATGAATGAGAGGAACCTGATGCTCAAGGGGTCTGGAGCAGCTGTTCAGAACCTTGATTTGATGTAAAGGAGTCTGGAAATAATAATAGTACCTACTGCATAGGGTTGTTTTGAGTATTTAATTAGATAATCCTCCTCAGATATTAGCCTAGTGACTGTGGTGAGTACCCAACACGTGATGACTACTATTACCATTCATGTTGAAAAGCTGGGTTAATATATTATGACTCCCAAGCACACAGCCTAATGCCTGTAGACAAGAGCTGAAGTGTTAATAGAAGCTCCGCTAACTCATTGCTGGGATATGGCATTGTCCCCTCTACTCTATGTCTATGATTTTGAAATCATTTTTAAAAGCAATAGTTACTTTGTCTAAAAAAAATGGAGCTTACCAGTTGACATTAGAAGTTGTGCTTGTTTTTTATATGGGCAGCGGCAAAATGTGTCAGGACCCACCCCAGGCTCCTG